CGTGTTCGACTCCTCGCGGCGTGGCCACTGGCTTCTTGGGCGGATGGGCGAGTACGGCATGAACCCGTGCACCCGAGAGAGTTACGGCAGTGTGATGCCGTCCCCGTTGTGTTCCCCTTTCGCGTCTTGGAGGGTGCTGCTTCTGGCAAGCCAACCCTTTGTCATCAACGGGATCAGCGCTGTGCTGCGGGCTGGTGGGTGCTCCTACATGCACAGCTTTGTGTTCAACGGGGGGAGCCCCGGGGATCCCGAAGAGGCGACGAAGCCCCACATTGTCGATCTTTCGGCATGCGGCCTGACGAAGGAGCTGTGCGTATCCAGCCAACTAGGGGATGACCTTTTGAAGCAGTGCTCGCACATTTTGGTGGAGTGCGCGACGGTTTCCGAGACCTCCACCACGGGGCACTTCAACCTACCGCCGTGGTTCCCCAACCAACTCCGATGCCCAGCGTACTATCCTCGCATCTTCACACTGGAGTTGATGTACCACTGCCTGTGTGTGAGCTCCGACGACCTGTTCGATGCGTCTGGAGCAGTCATCAATGAAGCGTTGATCAGTGATGCATGCCGAGTAGAGCCTTTTTCGTAGAGCTTGCGTGGAGGACTCGGGTGCGGTGGTGTGTGTGTGAAGGAGTCCCTTCCGATTTTATAGCCATTTCTGTGTCTTTTTCTCTGAGCGGACCATTCTGTGGCGCTTAGGTGTTGCTTGATCGATAAATGCACCAAACAAGTAATGTGTAATACGACCTGTTGACACTTAAGATAGTGAGAGATGATGGATGGGTAAGCTAATGCTGTTGTTGAGACAACCCTCTTTTTACATTTTCTCTTTTTGTTGTTTTCACCATTCTATTGGGGCGCACAGACCGATCTGTGTGTTCACCCTCAAGGTACTCACATCTACATCAAAGGACCCTGCCGGTGTAGTGTCACATCGGCACTGAACTTCTTTTCGACCCATAACCCCTCCGTCAGCCCTGCCGGGGCCGTGCCACGTTGCGGTGTCCCCTCACCCCGTCATGTCGGTGCGAGTCGAGACTGGTGCGATGGCGGCACCGGGGGAGGTGTTGTTCGCCTCGCCCGTGGGGGCGCGGGAGGCCACCGCCGGGGCCGGGTGCTACACACGAGTGGTGGAGGGTGCGGGGGAGGGCGCGGAGCGGCACATTGTGGCGAGTCGCCTGGGTGTGGTGCAGTGGGACGGCTCCGTGGTGGCGGTTTACCCCTGGGCGGCACTCTCGCCGCGCGTGGGTGGGGGTGGGAGCGTCGGGGAGGCCGTGGATGGGCTGCCGGCGTCGGGCGCGCGAGCGGCGGTTGTGTTTGGGCCGCGGCCGGGGCATCACGTGCTCGTGCGCATCACCCACAGCGGGCGCTTCTCTGCGAGTGGCGAGGTGATTGCAGTGGACGGGGTGTGGAGCAGCGGCGGTGGCGGCGCGGTGCCGGGGCGCCAGGACAGCTTCCGCGGCGTCCTGCGTGCCGAGGACATCCGGCCGTTCCGCGTCACGAAGGACCAGCTGCAGCCGCCGCTGCCTTCGGAGGCCTTCTGCGCTGGCGATGTCGTGCAGGCCCAAGTGCTATCGCAGTCCGAGGCCCGGCTGTACCAGCTCACCACCATACCTGAGTGCTGCGGCGTGGTGCAGAGCAGCGTGCAGTGTGGTGGGCAGCAAGTGGAGCTACAGGCGGTTCCCGGCAGGCGGGATGGGATGCTTTGCCCGGTAGACAGGCAGCTGTATCCTCGCTGGTGTCCCCTGGTGCCCGCACCGGAGCGCAGTTAGGTGGAATACGCTGTCGTTTCTACGGTGGGCGACATATTGTGGAACGATGCGGCGTATGGGGGATCGCCAATAAGAGGGTGATTTCGGCTATGTCCGTTTAATTGTAACCTTACGATGCGACGAGAGAGAGCGAGAGTGCTGGGTATGGAGGCACTCTGCTTGTTGAATGTGCTAGCGGTTGCTCTGTAGTGCCACCCAAACTTTACCCTTTCTGTTTCACATTTTTATTTTCTCACCCCCCTCCGCCTGTCACACTTAAAGAGTATTAGCATCTATTGTTGGTTCTGCATCATCGTGTACAGACATTAATTTACATTGTTTAACACATACACGCACACATACACATTGATATCGTTTTACAATGCTGAGTACCTTTTTATCTGCGGTTGGCATTGCCACGCTGGGCGTTTTCTGCGTCAAGGTGATTTTGTTTGTCAAGGTAAACTTCATGACCACAAACGACATGAAGCGGAAATATGGTAAGGCAGGTGGCTGGGCACTTGTGACGGGGGCGAGTGAGGGCATCGGGCATGCGATGGCGTTGGACCTTGGCCGGCGAGGCTTCAATGTGTGTGTGATTGCGCGCACAAAGTCCAAGTTGGACGTTGTAGTGGATGAGCTGCGCGGCGTGGGTGTCGAGGGACGCGCGATATCGTTTGACTTTGCCGAAGCAACGCCGGCGGACTGGACGAATCTGTGTGCGCAGCTGGACACACTGGAGATCGCAGTACTGGTGAACAATGTTGGTGTGAACTACGACTACACGAACTATTTTGATGAGGTACCACTCCAGACAGATCTTCGGCTGCTGAAGGTGAATTGTGAATCGACGCTGCGTATGAGCAAGTATGTGGTACCGAATATGAGGGCGAAGGGCGCCGGAGCCATTGTGTGTCTGAGTTCTTTTTCTGGGATAACGCCCACGCCGCTTCTGGCGACATATGCTGGCACGAAGGCCTTTAATGGATATTTCGGTAACGCGTTGTCGTACGAACTCAAGCACTTCGGCATTGACGTCCTCACCGTGACGCCAAACCTAGTGGTGAGTCGCATGACGCAGGGCGTGAGCACGCGCAAGCCGCGCGAGACGTTCTTAACCGTGAATGCCGACCAGATGGCACACCAGACGCTGGACAGGTTGGGCAGCGTGTACCAGACAGCCGGGCACCGCAACCATGTTATTATAGAGGCTATAATAAAACTGATGCCGGTTGACTTTATCAGCAATCAGATTCTGAAACTCCATATCAGCACGAAAAAGCGTGCCGAGAAACGTCTTAAAACAAAGTAAAACCTTTGTTTTTTATATCAATTGTTATCTATCTATCTATATATATAATCTTATAGATAATATTAATTATGAGGGGTACGTATTCATAGAGCAGAAGCTTTGGTACATTCAAAGACTTGAATCAATAATAATGCGACTCATTTTAGTGGACTTTACTTTTGTTTCTAATAGATCCATAAGACTATGAGATAATCTGTATAAATGTTCTGTGTGCAAATAGTAACAAGGTGATTTGTTTAGCTCTTCCGTGAGCTCCGAAGGTAGCAATTGACGATTAATTCCTTTTTATCATTCTCTTTTTTCGTATTCAAAGAGCTTCCGATGCGATTGGGCAACCACACTGTATAATTGTCCACGCTTTTTGCGGTGATCGCGGCCCTCCTTATTTAGCACTGGAGCCGCGTGTCGAAGGGTGATTGTATGGGGCTGTTCACGGTGGAGCGGACTGGCTCGCTCAAGATAGTGTGGCCCCTCAGACGCGGTTTTCGTGGAGGAGCAGCGGATCCGAGTGTGGGTCCGCTTCATGCAAGTGCTGCACGGCGGTTGGGCTCGAGGGCCGGACATCCTCATGACCTTAGGGATGCTTTACAGCTGTCTTCGAGAGGTACACACACGACATGGTGTTTTTTAAAGTTGACTTGACAGCTTCTATTGCTTTTGGATATTATTTGTGCTGCATGATTTGACGGTTAATGTACTATGTACGTGGTGCCTTTTCTTTCGATGGAGAGAGCCTAAGCATGTTACTGATCCTTTTAACACCCAAACGTAGGCATTTGCACTCCTGCGTATTGTTTTGTATTGGGGGCCACCCTGCTTAGGTGGGACCTGTGGATGGGGTTTAGTGTGGTGAATAAATCAATGCAACGGAGGTTTGGTTTTGTGTATCTAAACGAATTCATAGAGTTGTAATGAATGTGGATTTGGTGTGCACTTGCCCTTATCCTTGCGTTTAGCTCTCCGTTTTATCTGTCCCACCATATACCAGTGTAGTAATAACGCCGCGGAACTTTCTTCTTGACGATATATGATATGATGTGAGTTGTATAATACACCTGAAAAGGATTCAAACCCACATCTAACACTGTATCTGACACTGTTTCATCCCTCCATAACTATTTTCCTCAGCTTTCCTTTGTAGATAAAATGTCAAAGGTTGCGCCGTCACCTTCTATAGCTCGTTACTCGGAATGTGTTGAGCCCTTGCCCCGGGGCGCGGAGTGTTCAGAGCGTGTCGAGAATTCACAAAGCCAACTGTTTGCGCGTAATGAAAGTTACAAGTCCCCAAACGAACTTTTGTTAGAGCAGAATACGCTTCCGAGAGGTTTAATAATTTTTATGACAGTTCTATTATCCTTCGATCTTGTACTATCTGTTGCCCTGATTGTGATATGTTCTGCAGATCTCATTGAACATCACAACGACATGAAAAATGCTCCTGATAATTCCGAAGGATTTAAGTTCAACTTTTATTTATTCATCTCTTCCCTAATTGAATTGTGTGTGTCGGTTATTCTGGTTTCAGTTTTAGTTTACGTTACAATGCTGCGATCCCATCTTCTCGTGGGAAGAGGAGATCATCAAAAGCTAACATGTTGTCTGTGGATTGTTTGCTTTTATCTTTGCTTATCTTCCCTGTACACGATCTTCATATTATATGCTAATAACAATGTGGTTCATGTAAAATACTTTTGGATTCGTAATATATTTTCATTCACACGAAGCATCTTGCTGTGTATTTACTTTTTAATTTTGTTGATGCTGGTATGTATGCCATAATGGATACCCGATGAATGAAAGAAGTCCGAAAGTATCCGTATATATTTGACAAGTATTTTTCTCTAATAATATGTGGATATTTTATATCGGCAGTGCTATTCTTCTTCAGCTTTGTTCACGTGATCCTTGGGGGTAAATGCCTTCCAGATGTGTGCAAAGCAGGCGGTTCTTTTCCGTCACGGGGTGTCTATGGGCTGACATAATGGTGCACCACGTGCCCCGATCTGAGGAGTTTGCAGTGCTTTTCCGAAATTCTGTCGGATGAGTAATGTTCACATTCGTAAATTCATTTGTTGCAGCGGGTAAAGGGTGTAGCTATTTTTTATAATGTCAGAGTACCAGATTTCCTTTGCTATAGTTATAGTCATGTAAATTTTGGTGATACAGATATAAGTTACTGGCTAATACAGATAAGACATGCACTGTGGCATAATACATATGTTCTGTAGTAAATGATAAAAGTCAAACTACGAACAACGAAGGCGTGTACGAAAGAATGTGAGATGTGTTGCACCCACGTGGATATCAAAGCGACTGTGGTCTTCATGTGAGCGCTGACAATTTCATTTTGACTTTTCCCTCTTTCATTTTCCTAAATTTATATGCAGTGTGATGCTGGATATATATATATATATATATATATATATATATATATGTCTATGTGTGTGTGTTTAGGGCGCACCCAAATCCGGCGAAGACGGGACCGCATCCGTCAATGTCTCCCTCCTCTGTGGGGTTGACCGGAAAGGCACCCGCGCAGGAAGCGATCTGCCGTTTCCTGCGTGGCTTGAGCGCCGCCTATATATTCCTTCACTGATCGAGGTGAGTCTCAGGTATGTTAGCTTACTTCCAATATTAGGTCACGAGGTATGACTTATCGTCACATGAAGTCCTTCCGCATGTGACATTATTATCTTTATCAATTTCGTTTGTCCTGCTTTGCATTTTCTAGTACTTCAAGCCACTCGTGAGCTCATTAGGGTCGATTTACTAGCGAGGAAATTAGCTTTTGCAGGTAGTCATTCAGGTTAATTTGAGAAGCTTATCTGGTAACTTTTTAGGTAAGTTTACATTTGACATTGAGTTTTTTAGAACTTTTTTTTTGTTACTGTAACTTTTGAGGTTTACAGTGTTTATTTTTATATGATATCTTCTTTTCTCTTTGCCATTCATATTGTCTTCTTTTTTTTTGGTGCCTCTGTGGGACCTTTTTGACACTGTGTTATTCACGTTGTCACTCATCATAGGTAAGCAACACAACGCCATGTCACGTAGTCAGGCCTTCGCCGTAATCGAAGCTCGCCAGCGGCGCGAGGCGTTTATGCGAGATTTCAAGGCTTCACAGGCCTCGGACCTGCGGCAGAAGCTGAATGTCGAGTGGGAATTAAAGGGGAATGAAAAGATATACCAGAAGGAGTTGTTCCGCGCGTTAGATAAGGTGGAGGCCCAACACAACGACACGTTGGTTGAGCGTCGTCGACGTCTTGCCGAACTTCTCAGCGGGGAGCAGGCGCGATATGAGGAAATGTTGGGGAGCCTCACCGAGACGGACGGGCAGCGGCGCGAGCGACTTATCTGTAAGGCCAAAGAGCTTCGCGCGTTGCGCGAGGCGGAGAGGCGCGCGGATATCGCGAAGCGGACGGACCGTCTGTTTCGTGAAAGCATTGACCAACTCCGCGAGGCGGAGAGTCGCCTGAAGGTCATGCAGGTCTCGGATGCGCGTTTTAGCCAGTTGGAGGAGGCGAAGAGAAAGCGCGAGAACGAGTCCGCGGAGGATGCGTTCTTTTCTCAGCAGGCCCTAGAGGCTCAGCGGCTAGCCATCGAGCGGTCCCAGCGGGATCTCGAGGCTGTTTATGTGAGTGGCGAAAAGTTGAAGCGCGATCTTGCGGTTCAGGTGGAAGGCAACAAAATGCGGAAGAGCCAAAAAGCCGAGGAGCAGCGGTGTGAGAACGCGGAGTTCAAGCGTCTCGTCCATGAGGAACACCTGCAAGCGACGCAGAAGTCTGCAGCCCGCCGGCAGG